CCCCATATGGATTTCGTGCGGGGACGACAGCAACAACGGGAGACCGCTCCCTCGCAAAAACACCGTCCCCATTTAGATACGCTATTCTATTGTTAACCTGACAAATGATGTGAAATAAGTGGGACGCACAGTAGATAACCCGTATGTATGCACGCTTTGCGGGAAATCTTGGAACCGGGGATAGACTAGGTAGAGCACTTGATGATCTTGACTGGACCCAGTTCGCCGTGTTTGAGCTGGAGACGCTACCGCGATACCTGCCTGAGGGCCACAGACCTGGTACTCTGATTCACTGGCGACAGAGAGAGAATTTCCGGATTGCGCGCATGGATGTTGTCAAAAACGGTTATTACAATACCAAGAGGGAGATCGCCTGCCCCCCAAGCCCTGTTCTACCCACGCATGGTTTTGGTACGCGACCGATTAAACGGTCTAGGCAAGAAGCACATAAGACGCAAGCAAACGGCGGTACCCAAAAACGCATGTACGAATCACGGACTGGAAACGACGACTTCAGTATCTTGCTAAGCTCATCAAGTTGAAGCCGTGCAAGGTAGATGCCTACATCAAGGCGCTAGCAAGCAAAAACAAACATACGACGCATGGTAAGGTATGCAGGGCATATTGGTATCACAGCTGAACTGCACCCAGCATTTCAAGCATTACGCCGAGCGTACCTTGCGTCTTAAGTTGCACAAGATGTTGACATTCGGGCACAAATGGAGAGATGCACCGATGCCCATGTATTTACAACGTTTGATTTTGTAGGCATGTACCCTAATATCCCTATAGTCCCACTAAAAGAAAAACTGAGGGAAGCTTTGAAACTTGCGTTTGAATACCAGGCCGAAAAGTACGGATTAAAACCTGTCAACGAAAGTTATGTGCCTACCATATCACGATGAAAACTACTGAAAAATAAGGCACATTATAGCATGTAGCGCTGCAAAGATGTGTGGGCAACCGCATATTTGACCATCGAAACCGCAAGGGGGAACACTGAAAATGAAACGTGTCCCTTGCAAGTAGGTAGGGTGAGAAACTTATGACCGACTTCCTCGCCAAAATTCCCATGCATCCAGGTGACAATGGCAAATACTGGAAATGCCGAAATGCCGCCAAATGACGCCTGAACCAGAATTCTACCCTTCAAAGATTCAGCCAGGTATGCACATGAAGGAGCGCACACGCAGCCATTCGTCTGAGCTACTCCCCCACCTCTCCTGGTTTTCGGAGCTAGCCGGCAATTCGGATCCAGCCGTTGTGCGATACGTAATCATCTCCGTTAGGATTTGAGGAGGACGGATTCTAAGGCTGTAGAGAGGCACTGCGCCTGTTCGCTCCTTCCTACTGCTGCTTTCGACTGACTTGGGCCCTCCAAAACTCCGACAGGTACGAACAAACTCCTTCGTGTGTGGTCGAAGATGGACTGCGTCTTTGTACAAGCCCAACATGCCACCATGCACAACATACTGCTGCTGTCGTTCACCTGTCGCCGCCCTCCCACGTCTACCTGTCCATGACACATGCTGCCACACTTGATGCGACAACATCTGGGAACAACACGGACACAGGGAGTACTCCCCCTACCCGTACACAACACCGTCAAAACTGCTTGTAAGCTAGAACAACCTCTCATTTCTCTCTTTCCGCGTACTTTTCTTTGCTTTTTGTCTTTTTGTCTTTTTCTCTCTTTTCTGTGGCAGATGGCCTTGTCTCTGCTTGCGTTGCGATGTACCAAGATTGAACTAAGGGGGTGTACCATATTCTCTCCGGCCCGTGATGGTGACTCTTAGTCTCAGTTGTTACCTCGTACAGCGCGCAGAGGGAGTGGAGGACTCTAGAATATCTGTCGTTGATTTCTATTGACTTGCGGACCCCTCGGGTCAATTTTATTTGAGTGTACCTTTTTAGGGTAAATCAACCTGCGACCACGGGAATCGACCGCGTCGAGTGTTGGATCAGTGCGGACAT